AAAAGAGAGAGAATCCGAAAACGTAAATCTCTGCCATTCATATGCAAGATATCCATTTCATCTGTGATGGAAGAAGACTGGAGCTAGAGATTGAAACCATAAACTCATTAGGAAACGGTTACTGAGTTCCATAAATCAAGTGAGAAGTTGGCTTATTTCTCCTAAGACTCAATACTATCAGCATTTTTCGCAGCCCATAGAGCTGCCCCTGCTGGCCATTACATAGAATGCATGTTTAAGACACATTCACAGCCCTGGAAGCTCTGTATGTCCACTAATTATAAACTGTCAACTTTCTGGATATCTGCTGGCTGCACCGGAAGCCTTGAAACATTGGCTGTTGTGCCTAGATGGTAAATCGTTGTTAGACAATAGCCAATAAATTCTAAGATGGATGAAAATAAGACCTGAGTTGTAATAAACTGGGTTTGTCCTTTGGCATTGGCACTGATGAAATTAAGAAGTTTGGCATGCTTTGTGATGGGAAGTTACATTCTCTTATTTCACTTTGTGCATTTGCAATCACACTTGGAAATAACATTCCTTTATTGTGAAAATGTATAATGTGTGTGTGTCTGTCTATGCTTAAACTGTATGTTTATTATTTTGGATGCAGGTCTTTCTTGAAAACAGAGATCCCAAACTGAATGAGACTACATGTTCAATAAGGTTGTGCTTAACTCGTATCAGCATGAAAACCCAGCCCTACTAAAACCTCCTCCTTTAGAGCTACGTCTCTGTTTGTTATTTGCAGGATTGTAATTCAATCCCACTACAACAAACTGACCTAGAAACAAAGCATTCATTTTGCCTTAAGTTACATGATGCTTGGAAAGTGTAGCAAAACATGAACTGGGGTTTAAAACTGCAATTTTTAACGATGCAGTGAATCCTGCTATCAAAAAATGACAGGCAGAGTTCAGATTAAGTTCATCTTGATCGGCTGAATTTGTAAAAAGGAACTAAAACTGGGAGCATGGCATGACAAATTAATTACTTTTACAATTTTTACAATTTCTGATTTGTCTGTAATTAAACCAAGATACCAGTTTACAAAAATGCAGCAAACTCAATGTCTTCACACTAGTTTGAAGAAAGAAAAACTGTTGGTGTGTTTTAATCTTTAGTGGCCTCGTTCAAGGACATCTGTCTTGTTAAGGGACACCTCAGAGGTACTTGTTGCAGAAGTTAAGTTCTCCTGCCTGCTGATTAATCCATCTAATTACAGATTCAGGCCTGCTGGATCTCTAATCCACTCTTCCAGTCTGCGCTGTAACCCCCAGGCTACCGCCAGGTGCCTACCTTGCTGTACCAGTTAAGGCAGGGCTGCACCACGTCAGGATCTTCGATACCGTGCAGCTCAATGTACCAGATGCTGAAATTAAAACTAGGACCCCAGGACATCAGAGGCACTGAGACACAGAGCAAAGATGGAGAGAGAGGGAGGAAAAACAGTGTAAAAATATTTACCATGTATCCAAGACCAACAGAAGCCACGGGCACTTGACACACCACATCTGCTCTCACCTATTTTGACAAATCTGCAGGGAAACATCTGTTCGTCAATCTTGTGCTTTAAGGTGAACGTTTCCTTGTTGTAGTCATTCTTAAGGCCACTGGAAGAGAAGGAAAAGCTGCTTTACAAATTGTATTCCTGCGCTGAGATGCCAAATGCATCCATATGCTGGTTAATTTTGGGTAGTTGTCCAAATCTGGCAGTCAACCAAACTTCATCTGCCAGTTTGGCAGCAACAGGCAGTCTGGTAATGAAACTGGAGAATTAACTGGATGGTGTGATCCACCAGTTACTGAGAGACCGTTCCCACACTGATTGCAGGTGTTTCAGTTTCCATATAGTGTTGAGGAAAAAGTAAAACACAGTATCAACATCTACCTGTGTACTGTATGTATGAGCAATATATTCTATAAATGGCAGCATGTTACAATGGTCAGATATCACCACAGCTGGCACATAAATGTAAAAAATACAGCAGAATTTAAATGTGTTAATAAAAACATTTCCCACAATACAGTTTTTCCAGGAATGTGTGATCTTGTAACAAAAAATGTAATGTAAATTCAACCAACTCCAGCTAAACACTGCAGTTTGCCCGATTCCCATAACATTTCTGTACAAAACTCAACATGGAAGGCTTGTACATTTAGCTCATCATAAAAACCATCTCAGAGCTATTGATGCACCGATCCAACCTTCCTCCAGATTCCCATACAACAACTCCGATATCAGTTTCCGATACACAGTACCAATCTGACACCTGGCATTCAGTGCTAATGAAAGTCAATATTGTGCACTAGGGATTGCTGTGTCAATACAAATTGAGTCGTCTGCCCCCTATGACTGAATGTAACCAATAGCGAAAACATAGAAACTGTGTTTAATGTGCATCAGTGACATGTAATCAACAGCCCACCCACTTTATACAGGCCTTTTCCACTATAAACCTCCAACTTGCAAATTAATTTGTAGCTATTAAGGCTGCCCCCCAGTAGTCGACTAAACGTCAACCCACTTTCAAACTCTGCATCTGCTGCATCTGCTGCATCTCTTTACCAAATCATTATTGCTTTTGCCGTTAGCATTTAACAGGCGGCTGATAAAATACACACATAAGAATTTTGATTATTAAATTAGTATCATATCCATGGGATGACTAGTCAACTCATGACTTTAATTAATGACTACTATTCAATAGGGAAATCTGTAGTCAGGGGCAGCCCTAGTAGGTACTGTAACAAGTTGTGCCTTTGTTTCCACTGTTCTGTTCTTGGATCGTACTAAAACCAAGTTTCAGGTACTCCAGAGATGGATCCTGTCACAATAACTACTCTTGTTGGACGGCATATTGTCCCACAAATAATTTCCATATTATTGCAATTTAAGAGCATTTTATGCCACTGATACAATGATAAGCATAATAATGCCCTTTCAAAGAGTAGAGTTGTTCCGATTCCGATACCAGTATCGGAAATTGCTCCGATAC